AAGCACGTTTACTGCTTGACTTGTAGTAATACTCCTACTACATGTACCAGTAAAAGTGTAGAGTTAAGAGAGGGGTGTAAGACCAGAATCAACAAGAATGTAGATTTCACACTATTACTGTAAAAATGTCTCAAGAAAATAACTTGGTAATTGTACATTTTATACAATCATTGTTAAATTTTCTGCACAACCCCTTTCCTCCAGATTAACATTTGACAGGTGGATTGTTGAGTGCCAACAAGACATGTATCAACAAGAAGACTTTCCTGTTCTGACCTCAGTTGTTACAGAGTAATCTGCACATGAATTCATATTGCACAACTTCGTTGTATATCAACTTTGCATGGCTTGATGACACTATGCAGCTACATTTATATGTACTAGTCATATCATTTCAAATGACACTGAAAGCTTTTGGGAGAGACATTGTGAAAGGGACGTATGATGTTGGTCTCAAGGAGGAATGGCACAAATAATATCATAATATCCTACCTTAAATTTCCAACAAATCTAAAGTTTGAGCCTAAATAATAGATCAAGCAATGACTGCAGTCATTGTCAGCCAAATATGGACTTCTAATTATAAATATGTAACAGATTAGTTAAATGGCCATTCTAAGAGCCACAGAGAGTCCTTTTCTGCATGTATGACAATATATACACATTTATACATGTATGTCAATGACATGTTTACATTATAAGTTGCACAATTGCTTGCTGCTATGAGTTGTATTGAACAAAACTGGTGGAAATGAAGCTTTGAAATAAAGGAAGACTTCACCATATGGTCTTGTGTTAACATGGCAGTGTGTGCACAAAAATGGGTAAACAGGTAACTTGGTAATCTCATTTCTAAATCATAATGCCATACATTTAAATCTCAGCTGGGCCAACACAGTTTTGAATCAAGATACACATGATCCTTGTTCAGCTGAAGATTCAAATAATCAACACACATGGTAGGTTAGGTTGCAGCTTACCTGTGTTGGGAAGAACAGCCTGGTTCACTGCATACACAGAAGATGTTGGCTCATACATTTGCATAAGGGACGTCTGAAATATGACACAGCTTACTACATGTCTGAACATCACCACTCTTCCAGTATCTTTCAATCTATATGCTTTCAGAGTTGGTGCAAACTTGGGGAATCTTTTAACTGGAATGTCTCTTCGCTTGAAATGATGAGTACTAGAAAATATTAAAAAAGGCACAAAAACAAGCATAATATAGTAATTTAAATCTAGTGTTTTTCTGTTGAGGTAGTCTTCATGTCACTTACATGTCATGTCAAAAACAGTATTACACTGATCCAATAGAGCAATTGCTCTACAATGACACCCACAAAGTCAAATACTATATACATTGTAAAAACAAAATTCTTTTCCTAGATTTTTTTACCTTGATTATTGCCAGCAGTGTTCTCTCCTCTTGTAGCCACACCTGTCTTTTATCTGGTGTGACGTTCACATCTACCGAATCTAAAAGAAACACATATCATTATGGGCTAGGTCTTTCAACCTCTACAGGGATATGGGTACGTAAGATGGGAAAAACATGAACATTTAAGCAATTATCAGCCTCAGTAAACTATAGGGAAATGTAACTTTCAGTAACAAATGCACGTACATTGATTACCTGTAGTGCTAATGGCTAAGTCAGTTGCTACTGAATTGATCCTCAAATGTGTCAGTTCATCTGTGTGTGCCATCATGTTCTTTTAACAAACTGTCAGACATGAACTTACCTCTGGCCAAGGAGATGTCCAGGACTACAAATGGATACTGGTGTCTGTTGTACATGTGGTAAACTTCATTCACAACCTTGGAAACCTAAACAAGACATGGTAAAAAAGAGTTACAGTCAAATCAGTACAACTGATAATGTAAGAACCACCTGGACAATTGGACTACTATGTGATGGTCACTTACAAGTTACATGTACATTGTACTAATACATATTTTTCATTGATACAAGCATGAAGAATCCTGTCTATACAGTGGGTTCATAACAGTCCAATACTGTCCAATTTCTCTGTAAATTGCTGTGTGATGAATCTAGTGTGCAAGGATATCTTGAGATGGAAGGATGCCTGTCTACCGTCTAATTGATTACACATTTACATGTACCTTAGGCAGATCACAGGGTCTCTTGTTGATGAAGAAGTACTGTCTGTCTGCACTGCCCCTCCCCTGGCCATGGGAACATGTGGACAAGTGACCTGTAATACTGACAGATAGAAACAGACTTGGGCATTTAAAGTACATGCAATTATATTGTTGTTATTGTCTGACATGTCTGAGTCAACATGACATAAAAAAGTTTCTTCACCTTTTGGCTTACTATTGCACTTGTGTACCGTAATGTAATTTGCAATTACATGTATATCATATTCAATTTACTTGAGTTAACTCAATATCAAATTTGACATCATATCATTCAAAAGGCAAGCTATTCATTAGGTAAGTAAGCAATTTTTCTAGGCTTTGGCTTCCTTTGTACAAGTAATGTTAGTATTACTTATGACATATTTTACTCCTTTTTCATACATGTGGAAAATACACTGTAAACAATAACCACCTGAAGTGCTCGGTGCTGTTGTCCCCCTGTACCCCCATCTCCTCAGACACCTCCTGACTGGGTCTGTGCTGGACAAATGGCAGCAGGCCTGACAGCTGTTTGGGACCAAACACGTTGGTCACGTTCTCCTTCAGGCTTGCATTACCATTTGTGCTTACCACAGTCGTGCGCTTACTGGGGAAGAGATAGGTATCTGATTGGTGCAAAGCAACTGTAATTGTGAATAAGAGAACTTTTGGCCTTTGTCCTGCTGATTTATAGTGTTTTACTGATTCAGAGTAATAAATATTTGAGCCAATGGCAAGAATATTTAATTTCTGTCAATACTCAATAAGACTCATTTACAAGTGTTTCAGTGGAAACTGCCCGTTTCCAGGCAAAACACATCAGATTGTAGAAATCGGGTACTTTTCTCTTGATTCACGTCTAGAACTGTACTCCCTCACATCAATCTGGAAGAAACTCAAAAAAGTGTTCTGGGATCTTTCAGTGGGGAGTTACATGTATTATACATACCAGACTAAAGTACAATGTTTTCTTAAATGTGCACCTGGAACAAAGTGAATGGCATGAGACCCAAAAGACTCACCCTTTGCCAGCCTGATGAGTGCAGGTGATTCTCACATTTGTGCTGATGACACAGTATGCATACAGCACAATCAACATCTTGGAATACTCCTGGGGAGACACAGGTTATGACCAGTGAATCTTCCGAGTGTCATGTAACTTACAGTAATACTAACAGTCTGTCCAGTCTTCATAATCAGTTCCACTGAATTTTATCCATGTTACAGCTACAGTTTCAAAGTATACTGGTATATATAGTTACTAATAAAGTATTATGAATGCATAAGTGTAAAACATGTGGACCGTTCTGTTTCATATTCAGCTTTAGCCTTTATTGCACAACAATTGTGTTCATCTATCATGTTGAGACAAAACACTCCACAGTAAGTGCATCTTTTCTCACCTTCTTAAGATTCCTGAGGAACTCCTTGTGTCTAACCGGGAGTGTGCTGAATATCTGCTGGATGGTGACAGTGGTGCCTTGCTGAAAATTGAAAATTTTAAAAATTGATAGACATGTACCTTCTGTACAGTTAAGATTCCCAGAAAACAAAGAACATCATTGGCATTTCATGTGCAGTGCATATGTCTGAAGAAAAAAAATCACTTACAATAATTCTATCTGGTACTGTACACCTTAAGCTCGGTAAATTTCCTCATTTCAGGTGGGGATGATTTGTAAATGTCACAAGGATTTGGCTACTCACCTGCCTAGCACATGGAGCCTTCTGGATGAGTTTGCCGTTGTGATCGTACACTAACTTAGTGCCAACATGGGCATCCTTGTGACAGGTTGTGATAGACAAGTCACTGGGGAAAGAAAGACAAACGTTACTTTAAAGTTAATACCTTTCTGCCCCAAGACAGATGATGGTGACATTTGAATTGAAGGAGTTAATTCTTACAGACGAAGTTGAAAGGAAGTAGATGTTCATGTATTTGGCTGTACTCTGACTAGAGTCTGAGAAACAGTCTGAAAAGATTGTTGAGGGTTTTACCTAAGAGCACAGAGGGAGCTCAGGGCTTCTCCACGGAACCCAAATGTTTCAACCGACGTCAGATCAGAGAAGTCCTGTAGTTTGGAGGTGTGGTGCTTCAGGGCTGGAGGATGGTAGAAAGAACACAGTTAACAGTTTATTTCTCAAATGCTTCACTACTGAAAGGATAAGGAATTACACGTCACTGGATGTCAATGTTACAATTTGTCATAGCTCATCCATAACTACTGTAGTATACAGAAAATATGGGTGACTGACTGAGTCCTTCAAAGTTGCTTTCCTCCACTCCTGAGCCGTTGTCCACCACCTCCAGTAGTTCTGAACCATGCTCCTTCAGACGGATGTCTGCAGAAAGAAATATTGGTCATCACTTGGTCATCCAGTATATTAGAGTGATGACATAGAACACAGAACTGAAGACAGACTAGCTTGGCTAAGTTTGTATTTGCTGGTATATGTTGTAGCAAAGAAATGTCTAAATCATCATGGATTTACTCAACCCTTAATATTCTAATTATCTAGTTGACATTTGTTTGTCCCAATTATTTTTTAATCCAATATAATTTAAAATTCAAACAAGTTGTTTGTGGCATAACATATTATTGCTAGTGTCTCGCAAATAACTTTGCAAGATAGATTTTCCCTTTGGCCTTAGCACAAATTCATGGTCGGCGTCTCCAAGCATCCTATGTTTGTACATCCATATATTCCTGACGTCTCATACCTATGTTTTGTGGCACACATCACATTCCCGGTGTCTCCTACCTATGTTTGTTGCTCCTGCATCCAGACTGTTCTCCACCAGTTCCTTCATGGCGGTGGCGAGGTTCAGCACCACCTGTCCGGAGCAGATCTGGTGCACCGAGCGGCGGTCAATGGGCTGGATGGGTCCTGCCATGTCGGGGCTTTTAAAGGAAACCTTGCCTTGGTCAAAACAAAATATTATACTAGTATAGTACATTGATCACCATATGGCAACAGAGCACGATCTTCCAAGTGTATCTCCTAAATTTCGTTCGTAACTTCTTACTGCACATCGATCTTTTCACTCTATCGAAGCTGCTAGTGCTTTGGTAACGTTGTATCGTCTCTTTTCGTCTCACAAGGTACTTTAGTAGCTGCTAAAGTTTTATAAAAAATCTTGATGTGGGGGAGGGGGGCAGGTACATTTGAATATCTCGTGTATCATCGTATCCGTTGCTTTTAAAGATAAGCCTATATATTCATGTGTAGACGCTATCTCTGGAACCTGGTCAAAATGCAAAATGGGAGCTAATATCGTTGACATAATCGACAAACCTTATCGATGCTGCAGCAAAATAAAATCAAACACCCGCCATCATCTTCTTTGGAGAGCATCATGGGTAGGAATATACCACTGAGACAAGGGGGAGGCAGCTTGATTCAGGCTGAGGCATAAGACTGCCCTTTGACCCTTTGACCAAGTTGCCTGGATCTGTCTCCGGGACATTTGATACAAAATAAGGTTATAGTGCTTACAAATTTTTAGAAAAGTACAACTGTGTTAGGGCAGGAATTTGTGTAATGTAACAAGGTATTGTAATGTAACAAGGGTGATCTTTTGAGTAAAAGATACAAAGTAACACTATCAGACAAAGTCTCAATATCCAAGAGTGATACTTGGAACTTTTAAGGCTGTGCAGGAGGTTTGAATGTTGATAGGCACAGTAAAGGAGGGAGATGAATTCTTTCACGAACCATAGCTAGTAGCCACAAGGTGATATTCATTTCCTATGTGATCAGTTTGGCTATTACAGGAATCATTCCACAGAGATGCACTTTTCAAAGGGTTTATTGCTCTGCTCCATGTACAAACTGCTTTGACACTTGATTTTAATACAAATAATAATCGTCTTCATCAGAGGCTTAATGTAGAATTCAAGGGAAGAAGTCATCCTCTTCTTCATTCTCTTTAATTTAAGGTAATGTGGATGTCATGTAATTCTCCCAGTGTTCCAGCAAGTATAACGTCTGGCCAGCATTTACAATATGTTAACAATTTCAGTCTCATCCCACCTTGGCATCAGAACACAGTATCACAGAGTCAGGTGTATGCTAGACAACTTTTTAAAACTCAATGGGTTAAACTAAAAAACTTCACTCCTTCTGCACTCTGTGAGTACATTATCTGACCATGGTAGGCAAAAAAAGGAGACTGGAGTTTCCACTGTACAATATGATACATATTCACAGCACCATCATATTTATGTACTCTTGGGACATTGACTGCTTCCTATCATACATAAAATTCTCCCTGTACTCTATGGTACAGGCTCATCTAGCAAAATACAAGGATGATAGATTGTCTTGCATCTGAATTAACTAATGATTTCTATGGTTCCCAGCACATCCAGGTCCTACATGACAGGGATACTGATACACACAGTACTACACAAGTTTGCCTGTCATCCTGCAAGACTATGTCAAGAGTGGAATGGTAGAAGGGGAGGGGGGAAGGGAAGGTGTCAGAATTTGATGGTTCCCTCAGGGAGACTGCTGTTACACAGCCGGTAGTAACGCAGGTCGTTCACAAACCGATGGATACTCTGGGTAAATGAAGGCAAGTCCTACAGAAACACACAAGGAAAACATTATGTTATTGCTTGAAACTAAGAACAGTCTTACAAAGAAGAATTCCATAAAATGTAAAATTCTATCCTATTACTGGCATAAAAGATATTGTCGTACTTTGTACTAGTACTGTAAGTCTCTTTAGATTCGCGGGGCCTAAAGTTCGCGGTTTCGGGAAAATGGACAATCCGCGGTATTTTTAGATTCGCGATTTCTCCTTGGCTATTTTTCAAACAAAAATTTGCAAAGTGTATATTTAAAATAATAAAAGTTCGTGTTCCGGCATTTATCTCCTAAAACGCGGCGCAAAAATTTGTTTCGTGCACCGCGCGAGACTGCCGGCGGTAAAGCTGACGATCGATCTGACGCACGTGTAAACAATTTTCTTTGTTCGGAAATAAGCGCTAAAATGCTATTTTCCACGACTACACATCGATACTCTAGTGACGAAATGCATAATCGAAAGAATATATATATTACTATGCAAATTTATGCCGTCTTCGGCGAGATTTTGAACCCGGAAGTATGCAAAGGTCGCCTTCGGTTTTGTAGGCCCACGGTGAGCGTTTCTATCCAGCAAAACAAGAAGAAGAAAAAAACGCCCGCAAAGCAGGGCGCAAAAGATAACCAACTAACATTTCCCAGGTACCAGCCGTTATATTTTTCATAAAAATACTTGTAGATATGCCCGATGTTCCCGCAATTTTCAAGCGCCCGGGCGCGCATGGCCGGCGCTCTGCACGCATAGATTTTTTCGGCGGTACACGGTTGACACGGCCAGTGCCGCAGTATCGCGATTCGGTGTCTCATAATATTATATTTTTTTGACATCAGTATAACTTTAAAAAAATTTTGGTACTCAACATTTGCTAAGAATAAAGTTAATTTGCAGTGATTTGTGAATCGCGTGTGTTAGTGTTTCGCCGTCGTTAATGCATGTGGGGAGGGCTTACGCAAAACATATCCGCGGGGAAATAGATTCGCGGTACGAAGGTCCCCGCGAATGCCGCGAATCTAAATATACCGCGGAAATTTGTAGACTTACAGTACTATATAAGCCTTATAGTGCAGAAGAAACATTATGCATTTTCATTCTCTTCCAAAATGTTGAGATGAAGAAACTCCACCTTTTCCATCTTAAAATTCTGAGCCAAGATGGCCTTCTGGGTCTGGTCGAGTCCCTCGCAGCCGGCTAAGAACTGCGGTAGGAAGGTGGTGAAGAAGACGTCAAAGTCCACAGACGCCATGTTGTACGCTGCGATGGCGATCTCCTCTCTCAGGAGGTCATGTGACCGGTGGACCAGCACTTGGAGCAGCACGTTCAGGAACTGGAACAGCAGGCTGCTCTTGAAGATGGCCTGTCCACGGTGGGAGGAACAGCAAACAAAACAGACCAGGTCATACTGGGGTATCAGGGGCAAACCAACCACTTCTAATCAGTACTGCTTTCATCACAAAGAGCTGAGGTTGTAACTGTTACTGTTGCATTCAGCACCAAGGACAGGGACTGACAAACTGTCTATGGTGTTCTTTCAATCATGCATTCAGAGCAAGAGTCACTGTTTTTTTTCTTTAACTTGAATATCCTCACCAGAGTTGAAGTAACATGTGTACGCATTATCATTATACATTCAGCACAAGGGACAGGTGATATTTCATATCTATGAAGAGTACATGTATCCCACCTTCTGGTACAGTTTGAGCTTGCTGTTGAGACTCTCCAGAGCCTCCAGGTTCTGTTTGAAAATGGTGATGTCAGGCTGCATGAAGGACTGCCCAAATGCCTGATGATGGAGAAACAGACTTACGTTAGCAGAACCTCTATACATGTCAGCTGCATCTTGGTACAAATGTATAGTAATTCCACAGAAGTAAGCTGTCTTGATTTGAAGGAGACTGTCTTAGAACCCTGGTAGGCCGTTGGTTCTGTCACAGCCTGCTTGAAATTTCTTGGATGACCTACATGTCTTGCACATTCCACAGACAATTCAAATTCTACTACTGGCTAAACTACAGAGATTACTTCACTAATGAACTAGCAGAACTAGAACAACACCTGTAACACGTTGTGACAACATCGTTTAATACAGGTGAATAACTGACCAGCAACTTATCCTGATGAAGGCGACATGTATACAATCCTTGTATTGGAATAAAGTTCAACATTTTATGATGATTACTACCAACAGTACAAAGATGAACTTTCATGGTTAACTGACCAGCATGATGGAGGAGAACTGCTGCTGGTTCTCGACCGTCTCTGTGCCAGACTGCATGCTGTCCAGTACAGAGGACCTGAAGAAGAACCTCCAGTTGTGAGCCAGGAGGTGGTGCAGCAGCTCAAACAGAACGGACTTGATGTCCGGGATCGTTCTCTGGAAAGTACATGATATCTTGTAAATAATATATTGTGGAATGCAAATGATGAAACAGACAAACATAAATTTCTAGATCTACATCTACATAGAGTCAATTCCGCGTCACCGAGTGGGTTGTTATTGTCATTATTTAGAAATGTTTTGAATTCTTTGTAATTGTTTGTCTAAGAAATTTCATAATTTGGAAATATTTTGAACATCTTGTCAATATTCTAAATAATTCCCTGGTTTTCTAAAACGTTTGAAATATTCCTGATGTGGATTATGACATTTCTAATAGTTTCTAAATATTTCTAACAGCACTCTACCATTTTTTACCATTATTTCGAATTATTTCTAACATTTTGTAAACAGGTCAGTGGGATGGGAAGGAAGTAATTCACACATCCCTGTGAAGTACAGGGTAGACTGCCTGGGTGTCAGGCATTGATGCCTTACAACAAAAGAGCCACCAGTGTCCAGCAGTGAAATCTAAAAATATACAGAGGAAGACAGAAGAGTAGGATTAGCACCTACTTTTATGGGGGCAATTACCCACATCTACCATTTGGTTATTTGTTTGAAATAGTTCTAAATATTTCGAATTGTGAAAGAAACACATGGGTAGTTCAAATTTATTCTAAAGAAAGAGATCTTTGTACAGTCACATTCAAAATGTTTCAGAAATATATAAATGAATTCAAATATATTCAAATTTTCATTTTCAAATTTTTGAAAAATTTAGAACTTTTGTTACTGGGGTATTCTTTTCTTCTAAATAATTCAAACGTATTAGAAACATGGAGAAAAAACCCACTCGGTGACGCGGAATGGACTCTACTATAGGTACATGAGCAAGCATTTTTTTTCTTGTGTGCCTCAGACTGTCTAGACAAATACGACATGTATCGACCATGCATTGCTTACCTCAGCAATAATTGGGTAAACTTGGTCCATACAAAGGGATACAATACTGGGGATGAATGTCTTAAAGGCTGATCCAGGTTCTTCTACAAGAAGCTGCAGAATCTTAAGGAATCTGTGGTGGCAAATAAGCTCCAGGTAAGTACATGTACTTTTGCTTCCATACATAAAAGACAAAAATTACATATTATTTATTAATCTCAGAAGAAAACTTACATAACACAGACACATAAGGTCAAATAGAAGCTGGACATTGTATACATTCAGAAAAGCAATCATTGATGTTCAATGAAACTCTGTTTCTGGAGTGTTAACTTACTTTTCTATAACTCTGGACCCAGAACTGCTTTCATGGAGTATTGTTTCTGCTAATTGCTCCCTGTTGTGGATTGAAAGACATCACACATTATAGAAACCTATTCTGTAAGAATGTCAAACAGTAGAATTACAACATAGCTAGATGAGATGATCATATAGCTTGAATCTTACCATGATAAAATATCAAAGATTCTCAAAGATTCAAAGCAGG